TTTGTGAGTTCGGGCCCTGCGTTGGGCTTTGTGCCCACAGCTTGGAGCCTGGATCCTGCTTGGGATTCTGTGTCTCCCTCCCTCTCTCTGCCCCTTCCCCACGTGTGCTCTCTTTCTCAAAAAGGAAACATTTAAAAATATTAAAAAATACATCAGAAATCTCTAGGACAGTCAAATCTATAGAGATACAAGGAAGATGAGTGGTTGCCTAGAGCTGGGGCATAGTTGGGGGTGAATGGGGAGTGGTGGCTAATGAATATGGGGTTTCTCTGTGGAGACCTAAATGTATTCTAAAGTTAGATGGTGGTGTTGGTTGTGCAGCTCTGTGAATACATTAAAAACCACTGAACTGTACACTTTAAACAAAGGGTGAATTTTATGACATGTGAATTATATCTCAATAAAGCTGTTATTAAAACATATACCAGGGGACACCAAAAGCACAGGCAATAAGAGTGAAAAATAACTGGAACTACATCAAAATGAAAAACTTTTGTTCATCTAAGGAAAAAAAGTCAACAAAGTCAAAAGGCAACCTACTGAACGGGAGAAATTACTTGCAATCTATACATCTGATATACAAAATATATAAATAATTCTTACAAGTCCACAGCAACAGAGCCCAATTAAAAAATGTCCAAAGGACTTGAATAGACATTTCTACAAAGATGATATACAAATGGCCAACAAGCTTATGTAAAGATTAAATTACCCCACTAATCATCAGGGAAATGCAAATCAAAACCACAATGAGAGATCACCTCACATCCATTAGAATGGTAGCTATTCAATGGAAAAATAAAAGAGACTAACAAGTGTTGAAAAGGACATGGAGAAATTAGAACCCTTGTGCATTACTGGTAGGAATGCAAAATGGTGCAGCTGTTATAGAAAACAATGTGGTGGTTCCTTGAAAATAAAACTAGAATGACCCTATGACCCAGCAACTCCACCTTTGGGTATATATTCAAAAGAAGTGAAAGCAGAGACCTGCACAGATATTTGTATGCCCACGTTCATGGGAGCATTATTTACAATAGCCAAAATGTGGAAGCAACTCAAATGTCCTCAACAGATAAATGGTTAAGCAAAATGTAGCATCTATACATACACAATGGAATATTACTTAACACTTAAAAAGGATTTTCTGACACACTCTATGACATGGCTCAACCTTGGGGGCATTATGCTAAATAAACAAGCCAATGGCAGAAAGTCAGATCCTAGATGGTTCCGCTCCTATGAGGTACCCAGAATGGTCAATTTTATGGAGACAAATGATGGTTCAGCGAGGCAGAATGGTAGTTGCCAGAGGCTGGGGGGAGGGAGAGATGGGGATTTACTGTTTAATGGGTATAGAGTTCCAGTCTTGCAAGATAAACAGGTTCTAAGAATTGGTTGCACAACAGCGTGAATGTACTCAACTGAACTGTAGATTTCAAGTGGTGAACATGGCAAATTCTGTGTATTTTACCACGATTTAAAAAAATGTGTACAAAAAAAAAGGAATGAGGTAATAATATAGGCTAGAACACAGAGGAACCTTGCAAACATGTCAAGTAAAAGAGGCAGTCACAGAGGCCACATATTGTATGATTCTGCTTCTAGGAAAGGTGCACAAGAGGGGAAAAGGGAGATGACCGCATAATGGTCATAGGATTCTTTTTGGAGTAATGAAAACATTCTGGAATTACCTCGTGGTGATGGTTGTACAACTTTGTGAATATACTAAAGACCATGGAATTTTACAGTACGTGAATTATATCTCAATAAAAAAAAAACCTCCAAGTGACTGCTGGAAAAAGAAAATACACCAGACCCCTGCTATAGAATAATGTCATAAAGGGCATACAATACGATCATTGGCATGTAGACATAAGCCAGAATAGAATAGATAGAAATGACCAGAAGGTATCACAAAGCAGTGAGGGAGGAAGCATGGTATTGGAAATCACACTGAATACAGAATCAGATTCGCTTTTTAACTGATATATTTGAGAATAAATAAACCAGACTGAAGCAGAAGGAATTGCGAGAGAGGCTGAAACAAACAAACAAAAAATCCCAGAAGTGAGGCCAGGCTATGGACTTTGGATTCCCCCCATCCCCCGGAAACTATCTTAAATCACTGTTTTCAAAAACATTAATTTCATGGCCAATATAACAGACTGAGTTATACAGAGATGGGGGGGAAAAAAGGAAAATTTTATAAGTTTAGAGACAGTGGGTGGTCTCAGCATTGGGAGGCAAGGACACAGTGTGAAAGTATTAGTAAGTAGACGAATGAGATATAAAAAATAAACTGGCAAAATTCATCACTTGTTTAAATATAAGGGATAAAGAGAGGAAAAAGTTAAACATAACTCAGGTTTCTAGGAAAACATTGCTATCTACTGGAATGAAGTTGGAGTGGAGAAGTAAGTGGTTTTGGGGGGCTCGGGCATCAATAAAATCTGGTCAAACATCACGGAAATCCTTCAACTTTTACTGCCATTTTCCCTGCCAAAGATTTCCATTTTATCAACTCTGAAGTTAGTACTGAAAAACAGCCCAACAAAAAGACACACTGTTTGCCTACAATAGTTACAAAGACAAAAAAGAAAAGTGGCAAAAGGCAGCTTGGATATTCTCTAGCTAAATGTCCCAAGTGGCAGATAATAAGCAAGTTTTTCTTCCCTGTACACTCCTGGAGCAAAGCAGGAGATCAGGAAGTTGGATGTTTTAAGTACAAATACAAACTAGAACCTTGAACACCGTTCCCACCTGGGAATTGCTGGCTTAAAGAATTTAAACTAAATCGATCAATGTTGGTCCTTGAAGCAAGATGACAGGTAAATATTTAAAACTTTGTTGTACAAGTTTAAAGAGCCATTTATCAGAATTCCTGCTGAAGCTAGTAAATCATCAAAACAACAGATCACCTAATCCAGGCCCCCCCCAAAAAAAAAATCTGCCACAGGAAGAGAAAACAGTGGCAATTTCATTCAGTTGATCAAACTACAGAAATAACAGATTAATAAAAAATATCCAAGGGCTGTGAAAAGTCACACATCTATTTATAAGACTGCAATGAGCTCAGCAAATGTGTAAAACTCTTTAGATGCTGCACATTTTATCACCGAGTTTTTGAAAAGTTATGAAGGCACTGAGAAAATACCATGATACACACATTGTCTTAAACATACAAATGACAAAGAAACTCCCCTTCAGTTACAAGGACTCACCTTTATTGTCAAGGAATACATAACCATCAAAGCGATCCCTGAACAAAATAATGTCCTCTTGGTTTTTAAAGTTGATGTATGCTCTCGCATACATATGAGGATACAGACTGCAGAGAGGAAAGCAATTATGTAAAAGTGCTTCAGGTGTCTGACTGCATTACAAGTATGCATATATTAAAGAGACAGGCTCAAGAATCAAATGGCAACAGTAGGATCAAAAGGAATGGAAGAAAAATGTGCATTTACCCCCCACCCTCTTTTATTTATTCATTGTTACCTAGTATCATTAGAAAAGAACTCAAAATAATCATGCTCTGGCATAGGCTGAAGGTGTTCCTGCAGCTGCTCCTTGGTCAAAGTGGGAGGTAATCTCCGAATGACCACCTTAAGAAATGAACAAGGAAAATGAAATTAGTACAAATCCATTTCCTGCCATACCTGAAAGAATCACCGTCCCTAAAAAAATATGGTCTTTCAACGATGAGCTCACATATTAAAAACCCAGTAGAAAATTATTCTAATGCTGAGAATTAGCCAAACCTAATCATAAGGCTTTTTTTAAAAAAATAAACTCTTAGAAACGAGAACTCCAGGGAGTAAGGAAAATCTCAGATTCTGTTAAACGCAACCCAACCAACCGTTTACCGGATTTTTGTATCATTTTCTAGCACCCATTTCTCAACAGATGTAGTATCAAGAAATTGTTAGGCCAACCCTGGTCTTTTTGTGGGTACCATGAACATTTGACTTATGATCCCCCCTACCACGGCCAAAACAGAATCTTTCCTCATTTCAGCACAGAGAATTCAAAACTCTAAGAAATACCAAAAGTTCCCTTATTGCTCCCCAAATAGGATGAACCCGACCCGGCCCCCACCCCCGACCATGAATCCCCCCACTCCCGCTCAACTCGCCTCCATTACTACTCTGACCACAAACCACTCCCACCCCTGATGGCCCCTTCACTGTTTAATAATCCTCCCCCCCACCCCCCATTAACCTTCTAATTCCTCATTCTCTTCACTATCGATACCTCTTGCACTCTTTTCTCACAGCTTGTACCTCAACCGTCTCATCTAAGAATCCCTCCCTTTTCCCGCACTCGCACCCCGGGGTTTGGCCGAAAGGGGGGCTCCCTCCATCTCGGGCCAGTGGATGAAGACAGGGCGACGCGATTTTTCACACAGGTAAAGAAGCGGAGGGGCAGACTGGGAGAGGGAAGAGGCCAGCCCCCTCCCAACCATCCTCGCGGGTGGCCGACCCGTCCCGCCCTCTCCCGGGCCAACAGCTGGCCAGGCACCTTGCTCAGCGCCTCCTTCTTCTCCTTATTTCGATCCTGCTTATCTTCCCCTTTGGTGCCGTCCCCCGAAGCTCCACCGCTGCTGCCCGTGGCCCCCGGGGGAGTCAACAGGGTTACTCGCTTCTCTTTAGGCCTATGATCCTTCTCCTCCTTCATGGCCACGGTTTCGCTCCTGATATCCGCAGCTCGGCCTAAACGCCGCTACGCCGGGCACCTACGACGCCCGGCCCACTCCCGCCTAGCTCCGCCCCCAACAAACGTCCCTAGTGATAAGCCAGGCCCCGCGTTCCATTGGGCCCGGCCAGGATCTCGCGAGACTTCAGGGCGCCAGGCTTCCTTTGATGGGAAGGTCTTAGCACCTGGTCTTAACTTCCCGCCGGCCGACATCCCCTGGTGGCCCAGACTCCCTCGGGGCGGCTTGTCTCACGTCATTAGCAACTCCGCCATCTTGGCTAGAACCACTCTTTCGAGGACTACAAATCCCGGCATGCAAAGCAGCTAGCCGCTCCTGGCCAGGCGTCTGGAGCCACTGACGGATCAGTATCTCTATTTGTGAGTAAATGGAATCTTTACTCTTGAAAGTTTAGTGTTTTTCAGATCAAAAGATAGCTTCCGGGGCGCCTGGGTGGCTGAGTCGGTTAAGCGTCCGGCTTCGGCTCAGGTCATGATCTCGCGGTTCGTGGGTTCGAATCCTGCGTTGGGCTCTGTGCTGATCCTAGCCCAGAGCGTGAAGCCTGTTTCAGATCCTGTGTCTCCCTCCCTCTCGGACCCTCCCCTGCTTGCGCTGTCTCTCTCTGTCTCTCAGAAATATATAAAACCTTAGGGGCGCCTGGGTGGCTGACTCGGTTAAGCGTCCGGTTTCGGCTCAGGTCGTGATCTCGCAGTTCGTGGGTTCGGGCCCCGCGTCGGGCTCCGTGCTAACAGCTCAGAGCCTGGAGCCTGTTTCGGATTCTGTGTCTCCCTCTCTCTCTGACCCTCCCCTGCTCACGCTGTCTCTCTGTAGAAATAAAAAACATTTAAAAATTTTATAAAAAAATTTTAACGATTGGTGAACATTATTTTCAGTCAGTTAAACTTCAGTAAAGTTTAGTCCCCTCCAAATGTTAAAAAATGCAAAATTTGCAAAGTATTTCCCTAAATAATAGAGCATTTGTATTTCATGAAGTCAAAGATACCAGTGAATCTAAGACCACCATTATTTTATATATATATACCAAGAAAGAAAAAAAAGTGCTGCCAATTAAATGATGACACACCATCAGTTCATCCTGACTTCAGGGGTGTTAAAATGTGAAACAAAAAGTCAGAATCAATTGAATATGTTATTTGTATGTTGTGTGCAATTAAGGAAAAAGGAAGAGAAATGAGAGAAGGGAAAACGATAAGCTGGAAAGATGCACAAACACCCACAGGGCCCAGGAATCAAGTTAAGGATGCGATAGAAGCGCAAGGCAGAAAGCTGGCTCAGAGCCAGGGTCCCATCTTTGCCAACATCTAAAATATAGTACCCAGACTCTGTCCTTCAGATTTTCTCAGCCTCTATTGCCAAGCCTGTGCCTAATTCCTCTTGACAAGTCTGTCTCCCTGTATTCGAGATCGGTGACTCACTGCCGACTCCAGCACCTGCCTGTCCTTACAAGCCTAGCTTGTATCAGCCTCTGACCTACTGCTTAGCTCTGCGCTTGCATCTTGGTGTCTGCCTCTGTTCTGGAGTGCCCGCTAGCTCGCACCTTTAAACCACTGGCTACATGTCAGCTGTCCGAGTTGGGTGTTCCAGGGCTCAGTCCCGAGACCTCTTCTCTATCTACACTTGTTTCTTTGTTAATCTAATCCATTCTTTTGGCTTCACTGACCGCTCCAAAATTTATATCTGCAGCCCACACCTCTCTCCTGAATTCCAGACTCCGGTTGGCTGTCTCTTTGGTATCTTCTGCATAGATGTTTAACACGCTCAGATTCTCTGAATGCATCCAAAACTGAACACTTGAGCCTTCCCCACACCAGCTATATTCGCTTCCTATTTTTTTATTAATTTTTTTTTCTTGTTGAGAGAGAGAGAGACAGAGCACAAGTGGGGGAGGAGCAGAAAGAGAGGGAGACACAGAATCAGAAGTGAGCTGCCGGCTCTGAGCTGTCAGCACAGAGCCCGACGTGGGCCTCGAACCCACCAACCGTGAGATCATGACCTGAAGTGAAGTCAGACGCTTAACCGACTGAGCCACCCAGGTGCCCTTGTATTGATCTCCTATTGAAGCTATAACAAATTACGACAAATGTAGTGGATTAAAATAACACACATTTATTATCTTACATTTCTGTAGATTAAAAGTCCAACACGTATATCAGGGCACCTGAGTGGCTCAGTCAGGTTAAGTGCTCTCTTGATTTTGGCTCAGGTCATGATCTCACCGTTCGTGAATTTGAGCCCCACATCAGGCATTGTGCTGACAGTGTAGAGCCTACTTGGGATTCTCTCCCTCTCTCCTTGCCACTCCCTTACTTGCATGTGCATTCCGTCTCTCTCTCTCTCTCTCTCTGTCTCTCAAAACAAATAAACTTTAAAAAAAGTCCAACATGGATCTCACTGGACTAAAATTGACGTACAGACAGGACTGAGTTCCATGCTGGAGGCTCTAGGAGAGAATCTAGGTTTTTGTGGGTCATTTTCAGAGTTTTCTTTTAAGTTTATTTATTTATTTTGAGAGAGAGAGAGAGAGAGTTCGCGCACACATGAGCAAGCAGGGGAGGGGCAGAGAGAGAGAGAACCCCAAGCAGGCTCTGCACTCCGACACAGGGTTCAACTCACAAACCATAAGATCATGACCTGAGCCAAGATCAAGAGTCAGATTCTTAACCGACTGAGACCCCCTGGTGCCCCATTTCCAGAGCGTTGAACCTGCTAGGGGCTCATGGCCCCTTTCTCCATCTTCAAAGCCAAGAACATAGCATCTCTCTCTGACTCTGCTTCATCCACCTCTTTTTCACTCTCTTCTGCCTCCCCCTTCCACTTTTTTGTTTGTTTGTTTTCCCCCTTCCACTTGTAAGACCCCTGTGATTATATTGGCCTGAATCATCCAAAATACTCTTCCTATGTTAATGTCAGATAATTAGCCACCTTAATATTCCCTTTGCCATAGAATTTATGTGAAAAAACAAAATTCAGCCAAAGAAATTTGAAGATCTAATTGGCTTTATTAAAGGATTCATGAATTGGGCAGCACCCCATGTGGCAAATAGATGCTCAGGAGAGCTGTACAAAATGGAAGATTTTTATAGATAGAAAGATGGGGCAAGGAAGTTATTAGCAAAAGGTAAGAAAGGACTATTTGAGGCCAGGACATCTTTCTGGGAGGAAGGGAAAGGTCGGGTATGTATCACGCAGGTTACCTCACTCTCAGGGAATTTCAGACTGACTCTTAAAAGATCACACTTCTGCGATAGGTTGAATCCGTAATTAAATCTTGGTTTGCTGTTATAGGGGGCAAATGACTTTATTTCGAGGTTGTTCTTTCTATCTTTTTTTTAAATTATTTTTACATTTTTATTTATTTACAAAAATTTTTTTAATGTTTTATTTATTTCTGAGAGAGAGATAGCATGAGCAGGGGAGGGTCTGAGAGAGAGGGAGACACAGAATCTGAAACAGGCTCTAGGCTCTGAGCTAGCCGTCAGCACAGAGCCCAACGTGGGGCTCGAACCCATGAACTGTGAGGTCATGCCCTGAGCTGGGGTTGGATGCTCAACCGACTGAACCACCCAGGTGCCCCTCTTTCTTTCTTTTTAAACAGTTAACATAGTTACAGGTTCTGGGGATTAGGGTGTAGACAACTTTAGGGGGGCATTTTATTGTCCACCACATGTGGTAAAAGTTTCTTTTTAATTAAACTTTCTTTAAAAAATATTTGATTTATTTTTTTAAAGTAGGCTTCACTCCCAAATTGAACTTGAACTCACGACCCCAAGATCAAGAGTCACATGCTCCACCAACTGAGCCAGCCAGGCACCCCTTCATTAAACTTTTAATCAGGGTAGAATACATATACAAGGCACCTGGCTGGCTCAGTCATTTAAGCATCTGGCTTTGGCTCAGGTTATGATCTTGCGGTTCATGAGTTCGAGCCTCACATTGGGGGAGCTCGAGCCTTGCTTCAGGTGAGCCCCACTTGTCTCTCTCCCCCCTCTCTCTTTCTCTGCCCCAAGTGAGATTCTCTCTCTCCCCCACTCTGCTCCTCCCTCACTTACACCCTCTCTCTCTCAAAAAAAAAAAAAAACTATAATAAAAAAAGGCATGATACATATACAGATAATGTACAAAGAATACATGTACAACTTGGTGAATTTTCACAGAGTGAACGCACTCATGTAACCAGTGCTGAGAGCAAGGAACACTACTGCCAGCATTCTAGATGCTTCCTTTGCTTCCCTTCAAGGTCATTTCCTCCCAGGAATGGTACCATCCCGACTTCAAACAACACTGGTTACTTTTGCCGCTTTAGAAGTTCATGTAAACTCGGGGCGCCTGGGTGGTTTAGTCGGTTAAGCGTCCGACTTTCGCTTAGGTCATGATCTCGCGGTTTGTGGGTTCGAGCCCCGCTTTGGGCTCTGTGCTGACTGCCAGCTGAGAGCCTGGAGCCTATTTCAGAGTCTGTATCTCCCTCTCTCTCTGACCCTCCCCTGCTCACGCTGTCTCTCTCTCTCTCTCCTAGAAATAAATAAAAATATTAAAAAAAAAAAGAAGTTCATGTAAACTCAACCACATGGTGTGTATTCTTGATGTCTGCCTTCTTTCTCTTAACTTTATGAATGTTGGAAATGAGATTCATTTATATTGTCATATGTAGCTTTGATTGTTCATTTTCACTGCTATATAATATTCCTTTGTGGAAACCTACCACATCTATTCATCTATTCTACTATTTGGGGTGCTGCCCTGAATATTCCAGTGCATACCATTTGGTGATCATATGTATGCATTTATATTGGCTACATATCTAGCATTGGAACTGCTGGGTCATAGAGTAAGTATACGTTCCACTTTAATAGAGGAAAAGTTTTACTTGATCTTTTAAGATTCTTCTAGCTGGCCTAAGAATTAAATTGACATAAGACAGATTAACAGGAGAAAAAAAGCCAGAGTTTAATTACATGTGCACAGAGGCCCGATAATAAAATTGAGACCCAAAGAAATGACCACAGCGGGCAGTTTTTAGACTTTTTAGACAAAGAGATTATATACCTGTGAGGAATTGACAGGACAAAGAAAACGTATGTTTAGGGGCTTCAATTAGTAAGGAATTCTAAATTTTACTTTATTTTTTTACTTTAGAGAGAGTAAGAGAGAGAGCATGAACGGGGGAGAGGAAGAGAGGGAAACAGAGAATCCTAAGCAGGCCAGATGCTCAGCACAGAGCCGAACTCGAGGCTCAATCCCACAGCCCTGGGATCATGATCTGAGCCAAAATCAACAGTCTGACACTCAGCCAACTGAGCCACCCAGACGCCCGACAATTAGGAAGGAATTCGAAGCAGAATTTGGTTTGGGGTAATAGATTAGTAAAAGTGTAAGGTTTGTTTTTACACCCTTCTTGGCTCTGAACTGTCTATCTGGTGATAAGGATGTCTCTTTCTTCCTGGTACAGGAAGGATGTACCTTTCATAGGAGATTTATTTCTATCTCTCTGGAAACAAAGTTGGAGGGGGAGTCTGAGTATTCTTGCACTGTGTTTTTTTTTTAATTTGTAAATGTCTTTTTATTTCTGAGAGAGAGAGAGACAGCGTGAGCAGGGGAGGGTCAGAGAGAGAGGGAGACACAGAATCTGAAGCAGGCTCCAGGCTCTGAGCTGTCAGCACAGAGCCCGACGCGGGGCTCGAACCCACGAACTGCGAGATCATGACCTGAGCTGAAGCTAGATGCTTAACCGACTGAGCCATCCAGGGCCCCCGCGCTGGTTGTTTCTTAAATAACTTTTAAATACCTTTTTTAAAATTTAAATTTAATTTTTTAATAGAGTAAAAGCAGGGGAGGGACCAAGGGAAAAGGAGAGAGAGAATCTCAAGCAGGCTCCATGCCCAGCACAGAACCTGACTCGCAGCTCGATCTCAGAACCGTGAACTTATGACCTGAGCTGAAATCAAGAATCAGATGCCTAACCAACTGAGGTGCCCCTTTAACTTTTAATTCAAAATAATCAATATGCCAAGCGATACACTTTGAGGGGGGCCTGTCCTTGGTCCCTATGCTACAATTTTACAAAGTTATTTGGATTTTTTCCCCCCTAAATTTTAAACTCAGACCAAAAGAGAGGCGCCTGGGTGACTCAGTCGATTAAGCCTCCAACTTCAGCTCAGGTCATGATCGCCCGGTTCGTGGGCTCGAGCCCCGTGTCGGGCTCTGTGCTGACAGCTCAGAGTCTGGAGCCTGCTTCGGATTCTGTGTCTCCCTCTCTCTCGGACCCTCCCCTGCTCACGCTGTCTCTCTCTCAGAAATAAATAAAACATTACAAAAAATTTTTTTAACTCAGACCGAAGGATTATAAGATTATTTGCCTAATCCCCCCAATCCTTCTCCATTTCTACTCAGTTATACATAGAGGGAAAGGAGAGGATTATTTATTGAATTTTATTGAAGATGAACATTCAGTTCTCTTCCTGAAAACACACAGACGTGTGGGCACATAGGTAGAGTTAGAAAGTGCTGAAAGGAGAAAGGCAGGCTACGTACAACCGCTTGTGCTGTCTGCCCCCAATTAAAAGGGAAACATGGGCAAGGAGGATTGAACACACGGGAGACACCTTCCTCGCCCTCAAATTTCTGTTCATTTCTGTGCTTTGCTATAGATTGCTTTTCTAATTTTACTAATAAACTAAACCGGAGACTATTTAAGACCCTATGAGCTAAAGAAGAAACCTCGTTACCTGAATAAACATTTTGAAGGCCAGTTTCTAAGAGTAAACTCGACTATGCTTTGTTCTTGATCAGAAGCTACACGGGACCTATTTTTCTACTTTCCTGACATTCAGTACGAGATAACGACTCTTGTCATACTAGTTTACTAACGAGTCTGTCTTTACGCATCCTGTGTTAAAGCACGTATTCGCTCTACTAAGCTCGCAAAACATGTTTTGGAGAATTTTGTGGCGTCACAAACATGTCTGTTGTGGCCAGCTCACAAATTCTGTCTGTTATTAATTACTCAAGTCACGGCAGCCGGACAAATGGCAAGTAAAAAATAGTTGTGCTTCTAACAGGATTTATTCACAATGCAAAGTCTTGCATATACTTTCCCTTATCCCATTTGATTACACTGTTTTTGTTAAATCATAATTCGGTGTTGCTGGTGTTGTGATGACTGTGGCTCGTGGCTGAGACAGACCCTACCATAGACCCTTGAGCAACATGGGTTTGCACAGCGCAGGTCCACTGGTGCGTGGCCTTTTTCCAATAAATATGCATATTCTCCTTATGATTTTCTTAGTAACATTTTTTCTCTAGTTTTACTATAAGAATACAGCATGTAGTACGTGTAACATATGAAATACGAGTTACTCCACTATTTCTGTTATCAACAAGGCTTCCAGTCAACGGTCGGTTGTTAGTAGGTAGGTTTCGAGTGAGTACAAAGTTATACTTGGATTTTTGACTGTGCGGGGGGTTGGTGCCCTTGACGCCCACATTGTCCACAGGTCAGCTGTATACTGTTATGATGCCTCCTATCGAAGATGACATTTCATTTTATCTGCAGTTAATAATTACTTTGGTTGTTTTTCTGGCCTGCTTGATTTGGTTTCTTGTGCCTCTTAGGAATTATTCCAGCAGACTCCTCCGGAGATGTCAAACCCTCCCTCAGAAGGTCAAAAGAATCAGGTAATCTTTCAGTTTAGTTTTTATTTAGTTTTTTTATTTGGAGACATCTTTCTGCCTGCCATCTACCCTTCTACTCCCCTGAGAACTGATTGATATTTAGGCTCATTGCATAGATGTCATCCTGGAAATTCACTTGGTCTTTCTTAGGTTCCCCTTTAGTGGGTGCCGTTCTGTTTTTGACCGTGTGGGTTATTTCTCATTCCTGGCAGTTAAATAATGTTGTTACGCACATTCTCATATATGTTTCTTAAGGCAGGTGTTTCTGTTGTGTATATTTTTAAGAGTGGACTTGCTGCGTCGTAGGTATGTTGAACTTGTGAACTCGGATGGAAAAATGTCACATCTTTCTTGTCACTAAGTGAAAATTTAGCATTTCCTTCAAGTATGACTGTGGGAAAGAAAGCATAGCAGTATCGGCATTACTCATAGGTTTGACTGACAGAAATCATAGATCTTTTCCCAGCACATTATAGCTGTTGCTCATAATGTGAGATACTATTTATGCTGATGCCTTCAATTCTTGAACTTTTTTGGGTTTCTGAGCCAAATTGGCTTGTATGTTGGCTTTCCCCGTGTGAATACTTAATTTCGGAATCCCTGTGTTCAGCTAAGCAAGTGTCATGCTCTTGTGGGTCCATATTTTTTATAATTATCTATTATAATTTTATTTCATTTATATATTTATTTTTAAGTAATCTCTACGCCCAATGTGGGCCTCGAACTCATGACCCTGAGATCAAGAGTCACATGCCCCAGCAACTGAGCCAGCCAGGTGCCCTGTACAATTATCTATTATCATTTTAGTGTGATTTCAGGATGTCGAGCAAATGAAAACGTATTTATTCTTCCATGTTTCCGAACTGTTCTACACGGCTTTAAATTTAAATTGAATCTATAGTTGTATGTTTCTTTCAATATTATATACGTATATATGATTTTAAATAGGTGAGTGTTGTAGAGGTATGTCTGTTATATTAGTTTCTTCCTAAGAACGAGCTTTTGGTTTTATTGATCATTTGCAATTTGTGTGTGTGTTTCTTAATGCTTGCTCTTCTCGTTATCACTTTTTTCCACTGTCTTTTTGGCTTTGGCTTCCCCTTTCTTTCTTTCTTTTTTTAAAAACATTTTTGAGAGAGAGAGACACATACTGTGAGCAGGGTAGGGGCAGAGAAAGAGGGAGACACAGAATCTGAAGTAGGCTCCAGGCTCTGAGCTAACTGTCAGCACAGAGCCTGACGCGGGGTTGAAACCCACGGACTATGAAATGATGACCTGAGCCGAAGTCAGACGCTTAACCGACTGAGCCACCGAGGTGCCCCTGTCCTTCTCTTTCTTTAGCTTCATAAATGGAACTCGAGGGGCACCGGGCTGGCTCAGCCAGTAGAACATGTGACTCTTGATCTCAGGTTTGTGAGTTCAAGCCCCACATTGGTGCTTGAACACATTGGGTGTGGAGACTACTTAAAGTAAGTTAGTAAGGAAATTAAAAAAAAAATAAATGGAACTCTTTATGCATGAATTTGGCATATTTTTGTTTTTTATTAATTTTTAATTTTTTTAATGTTTTATTTATTCCTGAGAGAGAGAGAGAGAGGCAGTGTGAGCAAGGGAAGGTCAGAGAGAGAGGGAGACACATAATCAGAAGCAGGCTCCAGGCTCTGAGCTGTCAGCACAGAGCCTGATGTGGGGCTGGAACCCACGAGCGGTGAGAGATTGACCTGAGCCAAAGTCACACACTTAACCTAGTGAGCCACCCATTTGGCATATTTTTTAAAAATGCATTGAACGCTATACGTTTTCTTCACGAATACTTTTTAGATGCATGCCCCATGTTTTTACATGTATTTTATTGTCATCGATTTCAACTTTTTCATGATTTCCATGAAGCTTTTCTTATGAACCCATTGGCTACCTAGGGTTGTAATTTTAGTTTTTAGATGTACGTTTTTGACTGTTTTCACGGTCTCTTTTAGTATTGATTTAAAATGTCAATATGCATGTTGAATTTTTAATAAGCTTAGAACAGGTAACTACATCATTCTTCCAAACAATACATGGCATTTTCATGCTTGAGCTCCTGTCTTTCGCATCATACCATCCACTGTTCTGTGTGACCATCGTAAGGTATTTGCATTTTTTTTTTAAATTTTTTTTTAATGTTTTATTTATTTTTAGGAGAAAGAGAGAGCGCGAGCAGGGGAGGGTCAGAGAGAGAGGGAGACACAGAATCAGAAGCACGCTCCAGGCTCTGAGCTGGCAGTCAGCATAGAGCCCGACGCGGGGCTCAAACCTACGAACCGTGAGATCATGACCTAAGCGAAAGTCGGACGCTTAACCGACTAAGCCACCCAGGTGCCCCAAGGTATTTGCATTTTATTCTTTAACCTCCCCCTTTATATGTTAACAGTTAGTGCACATTTGGATTTTGCAAAGCTTCTGTTCACCATTTCTTTTTTGCCTTTTTTTCTCCTTTCGAGTTGTTTCCTTCTTGCAAAACTCTTCATTATAATAGTTACGTCAGTGAGCGTCTGTGAGTGGTAAACACTCGCAATCTTTATATGCCTAAAAATGCTATTCTTTCTCTTGCATTCCTTTTTTTTTTATTTTGCATTGGAATGCTTTATTTTATTTTATTTCTTTTACAAATAGTTTATTGTTAAGTTGGTTTCCATATAACACCCCGTGCTCATCCCCACAAGTGCCCTCCTCCATGCCCATCTCCCCCCTCCACCCCCCAAACCCATCAGTCCTCAGTTTGTTCTCATCATTCAAGAGTCTCTCATGGTTTGCCTCTCTCCGTCTCCCCCACCATTACCCCCTTCTTCTCCTCCATGGTCCTCCGTCAAGTTCCTCCTAATCCTCCTATACGTGCAAACATATGATATCTGTCCTTCTCTGCCTGACTTATTTCACTCAGCACAACACCCTCAAGGTCCATCCATGTTGCTACACATGGCCAGATTTCATTCTTTCTCATTGCCATGTAGTTTTCCATGGTATAGATAAACCACATCTTCTTGATCCATTCGTCTGTTGATGGACACTTAGGCTCTTTCCATGTTTTGGCTATTGTTGAGAGTG